CGGTAAATAAAAATGAATAAGTAAATAGGTAGATAAATAAAGAATGAGACCAAGGCTTGGATTTGGTCTGGAGGAAATCCATTACCTTCCCAATCACTGTTACTTTTCCACTTAAAAAAACACATTAGTTGAGTGACAGGCTGGCTGAACATGTCTGGTCTTTTGTAATTCTTTTTTTTTCTGTTGCTTTTTACAGGATTGAATATAAAATAATCTGAACCCAATTGTTTTTCAAGCAGCTCTGTGACCTTAAACACAGACTTTACTATTTTATTTTTGTTATTTTAATTTGACAAGGTGTAATCTAATTTTTTCCCCTAAAACAAAGAGAACAGCGATGCAAAAGGTGTAAGAGACACAGGCAGGCAGAGATTTCGAGATCAGTACAGCACAGTGTTCCTGCAAAGTGCCCTCTATAGAGAGATATACATATATATACATACAGATAGAGTTTTGGATTTTTCGTTTCGTTTTGCTTTTTTGGGGGGGTGGCTTTTTGTATCCATTTCCATTTCCTGATACCCTTGAGAAATCCTTCTGCAGAAACACAGCGAAGTTGTTTGTTTGCTTTGTTTGGTTTTAAACTAGAATTTCAGAGCTGAGGACACCCCAAACACAGACAGGGTGCTCCCCCACCCATGGAAGTGCTAACGTAATGCTTAAAAATCATCACAGAACTCTCCCTCCCTGAACTCCAGCACCTGGAAAACGGCACTACAGGGGCAGCTGTACAAACCGGCGGTGGTTCTGCCTCCCTCCTTTTCCACTGAAGAATTTATCAATGCTAGTCTAAAAAGGTATTAAAATTCCTACATTTTAAAATACCAATGATTGTTTTGACCTTGTGGCTATTTGTTAAATCTATAGTGCAACTGAAATTATTTCCTTCTAACATCTAAATGGCATTGAAAGCTAAAAGCTTAGCAACTGTTCCACTTGTCTATTGAGGGATGGGTTGAGCAACCAGCAGCTCTGGTTTAATGGTCAAATTACACATGAGCCAAACTTAACCCAGGAGCAGACTACGGGCTAAATTATTCGTTAAATTAGTCACAGTTTAATGTATTTTGAAGCTTTATTTCCTGAGGTCCTAAGCACACTATTTCTGTGTTTTCTATGGTTTTTATTTTAATTGATTTCAACTAGTTCTGCTATTACGTGTTTAGCCCTGGCCTGTTTTCATCTTCGGTCTCTCAATGAGTTGAGGTTTTCCAGAGAGCCTTGAAAAATATCTGAAACGTTCTCGGCAGGAACCGGGCTGCAGAACCCAATTCCGGGTGACTAAGCACTGTACTCGACTCCCGTGGCAGAAGAGGCAAGGCCTAAGCAGGCACAGCGAGTGCACTGTGCTGTTTTAAATGCCTGCCGTACCATTTCAAACTCCCTGGGCTCGAAAAGAGCAGAGCAACAAGAAGCTCGAGCGGAGGGGAAAAAGGATTATCCCTGCAGCACCAAAACCGCTGCCTTTTGTAACTCCTGACAGGGCACCACTGTGTGAAATGGGGAAAATTTTTAATTCTGGTAAACTCAACCACAACAATTTGTCCTGTACCAAAAGCAGCAGCTCTGCAAACTCAGAGGTTGCTAAAGCACAGCCCACACAGCTCTACGGTGCACTGTTCATTCTTCCTTACTCTTTGTAATACGGAAGAGCATGCAGAGACGCTCGGTCCTTCCATACAGTGCTCCATCTTGAGCCAAGCAGCTGGCTATTTGGATCAAAACAGAGCAATCCAGGTGGAAGTCTGAAGCTTTCAAAAATAAGAGGAGAACTACAAACTGCTCCCTTTCAAGGGGGCAAACCATCTGTGGCCGTAGATCCTGGACAAGCAGACATATGCCCTTTCTGGGGCAAAGCCCGGACCCGGCACATGTTGACTCACTGACGCTTGGAGAAAAGGTATGAGTGATTCAACCTGGCTTTACCCACCGAGTGGAGTAGGTATCTCAGCCCTTCTGGGCAAGATTCAAAGCCTCTTAAAAAGGCCAAGAACGCTTCCCTCCCATCCCAGCCGAAAGCAAGCCACACAGCATTCTGCACGGAAGCTATAGACAGCCATGCGCTTTCGGGTGAGAACGGCCAGGCTCTCCAACAGCCCCTGTCGCTGTGCAGGGAGAGGCACCACGCTCTCAGCCACCACCACGGAGACAGGCAACCCGTGATACGCAGGACTTTGAACCTGTCCTTCCCTGCAATCACTGTGGGCCAGAAGTTTGATAGTATTTGTGTCCCCAGGGATACAGGGAAGCATCCAATGGGACCTTTGAAAGCCAGGTGAGTTGTATAGCTGCCATAAAAATCAGCTTCCCATCTTAAGGTGTGCGGACCTGCCCGCTAGAACTGTGTCTTTCTTTTCACTGACTACAGGTGAAATCTGGACAACAGGCTCAGACCAGAAACTTTCATACACCCCAGGCAGGTGGCAGAACTCATCTCACCTACTTCTGATCTGCTTCTGTGGGTCTCCATAAAGATACTTCTGCATGTGACCCTGGAAATTCCCTGTTAGCAGACTCTTATTTTGGACCATGGCATGATCTGATCTGTAATAATACACAAGGCAAACCTTTAACCAGTAATTTCAAGACCATGCCCATAACTTCTGGCAAACCATATGAGCTCTTTTAACCAGGTATCAAATCTCTATTTCCTTGCCTGGTGTCACTTCAGTCTATCATGACTACATCCAATTTAGCTTTACTTTATTGTTGTTGATATTATTATTATTTTTATTGGCTCTTAAGGAAGAATTTAATCTTAAAACCTTCTCAGATCACAAGAGGTTCTAGCAGCAGCAGTGCAGTTTGGACATGTTAGAAATACTTTATAAAAGATAAAATAAACAAATAAAAAAAAAAGGTGTATAAATCCCTTTTTAATTGCACCTAAATCCTGAAACTCAAACTCCTATTCATGAAGGAAAATCCTGTAATTAGTAGTGATTATCACCTTTTAGTCCTAGGCAGGAGGGAGGTGGGATGGGAACACCTCATTTCAAACACTATTCCTTCTCTCTTGCTCTTTTTAAATAGAACAAGCCTTTTTTTCTTTTTTTTTTCCTTTTCTTTAAATAGAGCATTGGGGCTGGGGCATGTCTTTTGGCTGTTGTTGGCATCACAGTTAGAAGAGCCACAGCTGGCCCCTTCAGAAAGACATTATCAACAGTGCAGCATTTCGGAGTGGTACCCTTGCGTCTAAGGGGAGAGGGGGAGAGACTTGAAAGGGAGAGGGGAGAATACCAGCACTGAGGGTCCGAGCACTGAAATCTCAGCATTTTAAGAAAAAGAGAAGGACAGACAGAGAGAAAGAGAGAGACAGAGAAAGAGAGAGACAGATACTGTGTCAATACTGCACTGGATTTCTCAAAAATCACACAGCTTTAATACCTGTACACTAGGAAAGCCACTCCTTTGGTAGATTATTGAGTAGTGAGGACTGATGGGCAGAGGGAAATGCAAAAACAGGGAAAGGAAGGGCATTCAATTCTGCAACGGGCAAAAGCACCAAGCACCAACGGTACAACTAACACACTGCAAAACCCCCACCTGTTTACCGTCCCATGTGGCTCACCCACTCAGGATGCACACATGGGAGGCAACAGAAGCTTAATGGGGATAAACAGGGAGATGAGAAGAGGGAAAAGAGGCATTTTCAGCTAGAATGTGACTTGTCAGATTTCTTGTTGCTGTTTACAATAGATGCAGCTGCCAGATGTGTCCCAGCAGCTTCTTTTAGTGCCTACCACTGCTGAATTTCTCTTTCCACGCTCCTTTAGAAAGGAGGGCTCTACCTTCTCTGGACCTGGCTGGTTCTCAGGGCGCCCATAGCCAGCAATAACGGTTCAATGCCAGGGAAAGGAGAGGGTAAATGGGGAGAGGCAGAGCCATGAGATCCAGCCACCCTTCTGCAGACGGCGGCTGGCTGGCTGCCCTTCTCTTCCGACATTGCAAGGACGAGGCATCACCCTCCTACAAGGGAATCTGCCAAGTTCTGCTGGTGAGACAAGGCACGGGCTGATGATGGGGCTCTCCACGCACACGTGGGTGCTACAGGAAAGACAACCGCCTGTGACTCGGTGACGCAGCAGGAAGCTTTCTGCCTCTGCCCGTCCCGGGCTGAAAGCAGATTAGCTCCCGTACACGCCGCGTCTTAGGGATCCCGGGAGGGAAACGGCCAGTTACCAGTGAGCAAGTTCTGTAGCGCTGGGGAAGCCCTTCAGAGCAGGGATCAGGGTTTTTCTCTGCGTGCAGGATGTGGAACAAGAGCCACACCTCCAAGAAATATGTGTGTAATAACGTGACCCAGGGTCTGCTCTAGCTCTTGGAACGACACCCTGGCTTCTTACCATCTTTTCCGCTTCCCAGATCCCTCCCTCCCCGCAAAACAAAGGCTTGTCCCAAATAGCAGGGCTTCCATGGACAGGCGTTAGAGCTGTGTGACTCCTTTCCTCCTGGAGGGATTGAGGAGTTCAGTTACCACCGGGTGGGCAGGAACACTGGCTTCTCACAATGCGTTTGGAATAAACTACAGCACAGCATAACCAATCAAAACTGAAACAGGAAATCAAGAGAAAGCAAAAAACCCAACAGAACAAAAAATTGAGAAAATAAGAGTAAATCCACTTCAAATAAACCAGAATTGTAAAAAAAACCAAACCTCTACATATTTATATATAGAAAAAATAATTCATAATTAATTTAAAAAGTGGCATGCAAAGAAGATTGTTACATTCTCCTATCATGCATCAGGCCCAATGTCCAAACGGCAAGGTAACCATGACGACAAAAAAGTGCAAGAACTCAGCAACATTACCAAAGGATGCATAGAGAGGCCCACAATGCAACTCAACTCATCTCTGCGAGACCCGGGAACGGGCGGGTCTCGCTCATCTTAAAGATTTCTTGCTTTTTCTCTTTTTTTTTTTTTTTTTAAATAATTTTTTTTCTAAGAATGTAAAAATGTGGGTAAAGAAAGTAAAAAAGAAAAAAACCACACCAACCTTCTCGTAGCTCTGAGGGATGTTAAGGGGGTTTGATGCGGAACACAATGACATGAGGAGAAGAGAAAAATAGGGGAAACACAGAGAGAGTAAAAAAAGGCCTTCTCAAGGCTGTCAGCTGCAAATTGATTGTTTTTTTTTTTCTCTTAACCAAAATAAAAAGAAAGGAAAAAAAATGAAGATAGTAACGACCCTCCTTCCTGCCTTCCTGACTTTCCCCCTCCCATCCAGCTAGGTACCTTTTGTTTAAGAACAACCAAGCTCCGCAGAGAGGTGGGACTGTGAGCCATCCTGCTCCAGAACCAGCACCCGCCAGAGGTGCCAACCCCAGAAAGGAGTTCCCACTTCTTTGAGTCCATCTGCTCTTTAGAGAAGGGGGAGCGGAACCCGCACCGGGCAGGGAAGACCCGACACAGAGGAGATCCCAAGCTGGAAATCCGCTCCCCCAGCCCGTGCTCCCACCAGCCCCCGCGCCCGGCCCTGCTTGCGCTAACTCCACAATGGGACTGAATAAGGAAAAAGAAATAATTAGAAGAAGAAAAGAAAAGCAAAACAAAACCAAAACATTTCCTTGCAATGTTAAAACTTACAACTCCTATCCCAGGTGTTCTCTAGAGACAAGCATGTTATGGGAGAAACAAGTCAATTGGAAACACAAGAGTGTTCAAGACTCTTTTAAAACAAAAAACGGGAAGAAAAATGTGCATGAACTTTCCCTCCCACCAAAGCAAATTCATTTCAGAAATTTGTTACCTTTCCACGATAATAACACACAAGAAACAAGGAATTAAACAGCATGAAAAACACCCAAACCACAGGCCGAGCTTGCTTAGACGGTGTTTTCTGCACTCTCTCGGCCGGCTAATGCTGGCTTGTTTTGCAGGCAGGCCTCGGGTACACACGGGCTAACTTGGACAGAGAGAGGGCTATCCACCTGGAGCCGACTCTCATCCAGGTGCGGAGACAAGCAACCCACGGTAACAACCTTTGTCTCCTGGGTAGTTTCCGAGTGGCCAGAAAGGTAGAGGAAATTTAGAGGTAAAAGAATAAATCCCCGCATTTTTTCCTGTGTTGTTTTTTTTTTTTTTAATAAAAAAAGAACCCAAAACATTCCAGCTAAGCTGTCTCCAAAGGGTTTAGCCCTGAATTAGTATCAGATCCAGATTTACGTTCCCAAAAGAAGAATTTTGGGGCCCAGGCAACAGGGCAAATTTCAAACGCAATTTTCCAGCTGGCCACAAAAGGCTATTTAAAAATTTAGCTTGGAAACATTAAATTATTAAAAGCCTTCTCTCCATGTGCATGTGATTTAGTGAGCGTGAGACACGAGAGAGAGAGAAAGAGAGAGAGAGAGGAGTGCACACAGGAGCATGGCTCTGCATTCGACAGCAGAGTTAACGTGAGTGTAGGTGGGAGGCGCTTCCTCTGCCGATGGGATGGAAATGGGAACAGTTTGCTGGGATGTAACTTTTCTGTTTTCCTCCCAATGGTATTTTTCTTTTTTAAAAAAAGCGAGAAGGACCAGCCCTGCTCTCTCATTACCGAAAGGGTTATGCTGTGGAAAGATATTAAACCAAAGCTACATACAAAATATTACCGGTCAGAGAGATTGAAATAAAATAACACAGAAAGTGGAAAGGCTATTGTCCCCCTGGGTTTGAGAACATCGAGGGGGCATCAAGCAGAAGCCCATCCCCCTGTCATCTGTTCCCCGTGCTACATGGGTGAAGGAACCTGTCACTGCAGCAGAGATGCCTGCTGGCTGTCTCCAGCTTTCTGTGAGTCTGTGCCCACGGCCAGCGTTCACGCCCAAGGAACCAGTGACAAATTACTGCTGGCAAAGGGAAAACCAGCTGGGACTTAGGCGAGAAGTGAGAATGCACCCTCCTGTTGCAATCTGGTGAGATCCGGGGGACACAGAGCTCAGTGGAGGGGGCTGAGAGGGTCCTCCCCTCCTCTCACACCCACACCAGTAGAACCAGTAGAAACCTTCCCACTTCTAGAGAGCAGGGATGCTTTGGGAGAAAAGGGAATTACGGCCTCTTTGCAGCCAAAGTTGTTCATTCCCCTCTGGGCTCTGCAGGCTGATGCTGGCAAATTCTTGGGCACGCTACTTTGGGCCACGCTTGCCTTCTCTGCGGGCGACACAGCCTTGTATTGCTGCTCTGCAACTCTGGTGCGGTAGCTGGAGCCACCAGCAACGGCGAGGAAGCGCGGGCGCACCAGGACCCCCTGCGAGCTCAGCAGCGCACTGTAAGGATCCAACCGCTTAGGACCAGTGCTTCCCCTGCGCTCAGGGACAGGATGGAATCACACAGCTGGGGACAAAGGAAGGCCGTGGGGAGGGAGGTATTTGCCAGCGTTGTGAGCCGACGCGCTCCCTACCTCTCACGTAAAGGTTAGCAGGCGAGGAGTAGCGCACTCCGGCGCTGTTGCTGGCGACACATTCGTACTTCCCCTGGTCCGTCTCCTCGCTGCTTTCAATCTGCAGGCCACCTGGGAGGAGAGAAGAAGACCGCAGCAAAGACACGATCATCACCATTTTGTTTTGTTTTTAAGAGTGAGCAACACCATCCATGTTTTGCTTTCTCCTCCCCTTGGGCTAATACACACTGGGACAGTCCCCGGGGCTCCTGGGCTATGAGCTCGGGGAGTACCGAGCCCTCTGCCAGCATCGGCTAATGCCCGTGCTCAGCATCGCGGCTGGACACAGGCCCAACAGGAAGAGAAAATTTAATACCCCCCTCTACACTAAGTGTTACTCTCTGTACTGAAATGATCAGCAAAAATGGCAACTTTTTGGCTTCTGCAATGCAGGCATTCTGCACCACAACTGATGCAATCAACTTCAATAATCCGTATTACTGCGATCCCCAGAAATCTATCAGAAGGCTGCTGACTCTCCCTTGCTCGATTTGAAGCAGTGGCCGTAAAAGTGAAAGGCTTTGTCACCCACTGCCTAGGATCCCTGGAGCAGCTTCATCACCACTGCCTTTGTTTTGTGCCTGAACACCTGATTCACGTGAAGCCTACAGGAGGTAAGAGTGCGTGTGAAAAGCACCTTTCTGATAGTGAATATTCCCAAGGGAAAACCCTGTAAATACTGCACTGGAACTTCAAAATTGCCTGTGCGGTTTACACCAACTGGGCCAAAAGGATTAAGGTTTTTCTTAAACCTGTACATTGTTGCAGCCTACAGGAATATACCCAGAGCCCATACTAAACACTCCTGTAAGCAAACATGCACAGATATGCAGCATGTAACTACATGGAAGAAAATCGCCTCGTTTACCTCAGAAGGCTTCATCCCTGCAAAACTCCAGTTAAAATACATACTACATAAATAATTCAACAGACTATCAAATGTTTTATGTATTAGGAGTACATCATTATACTACAGATATGGACAGAGCTCACATGTGGCAAGACTCTTAACTCCCATCTCTGGAAAAAAAACCTAAATATGAAAGCCCAACAATTCCAGCTCACCGTACTATTATTGATAAAATCTTGAGAAAAGTGCAAATGATAATATTGCTAGTTGCAGTTACAGCCTCTTCAGGAAGGAAAAACCAATGTGTTCACACGAGGAGGACACGGAGCTCATGTTCCTCTGTGTGTGCATGGGTGAAAAAGGATGCTGTGTGGGAAGATGTGAGGCTGTGAGAGTATTTGTGACAGGGATGGGGTGTGATAGTGTGACTCCTGCCAGCATCCACTGGGCCTCGTAGCTCCCAAAGGCGAAACAGATAGAATTAAAAACCCAAAAAACCCCATTCCAGCCACTAAACCGAACTAAATTAATTTCAAAAGAATCTGTGGGTACTTCAGCGTAACAGGAGTTAGAAACCAAATAGACTGAAGCTTCACACTGAGACACCAGCTGAGGATATTTCATACTGAATTACAGCTCGAGCATGTTCTGTCACTGGAAAGCTCCACTTGGGCGGAGAGCTGGTCAATGAGTTTTCCTAGGAAATTCTGTTAATTTGGACCAATCTGTGGGTTGCTTCCACTGGTTCCAGACAAGTTTTTTGTGCGGCTCAGGAGCACTGCTTGTCTGAGGGTACACAACAGGAGACGAAGCCGCACTGCAGAGCAGGAACAGAACTGCGGGCAGGCAGCTTCGCCAGGGGAATAAGGGCTCACCCCTTTCATCTGGACCACTGCAGCTTTGCTGGTGAATGCAATGGTGGAAAACTGTACCGTAGAGAGGTCAATGAGTTTTCAGCACTTGTCAGGAGCCAACAGAAACGATGTGTGAAAAAGTAGATCTCACCTACAGCACCTCCTGTTGCTTTTACCAGCAGAGAATTATGGACTTTTACATTTGCCAGTGTAGACAAAACCAAAGCAGGGTCTTCCAAGGGGCACATACCCAATTCCTGTGACTTTCAATGACAGCTTGAGGTCTAGTATCTTTTTGGCTCCGTTAAAATGGCGCAGAAGCTACTTACCACAGGTATCTTTCCCAGAAAAACCTAAGGGTAAGAGAGTTGGGAGGAAGGGGAAAGAAGGCTCTGAAGCCAAACAAATGAGTACGCTGAGACGGTAAGTGCTGAAGATCTGACTGAGCAAAGGATTGGAAAACTTTCATCACCATCAGTGGCTCGGGAGCACTTTGCACAACCGAGAGAAGGTTCTAAGTATTTACCAAGCTTTGATAGCATTTAATGCTCAAGATAAACTTCAGTCCTTCACAGTCCTGGAGAGATTAGCTCTTAAAACTCTGCCATAAATCTGAGGCAGCACAGCCTGAGACGTTATTAGAATAACGGTATCAGTATTACGAAGTGCACCCAGCAAACAAAAAAGGACATTATAACCATATATAAAATAAAGACAGGTATAAAAAAGAAATATCCAGAGGTGAAGCAGGACAAGAAAACATAACAACAACAAGAAGAATATGTATTGAGCACAGGTCAATGAAACAGGAACTGAGTGGAGAGAAGTGTTTGGAGCGTGGGTGAGTGAGTTGGGGATATCTTACCTCGGATCGGTGTACCTTCTGCAAAGAAAACAAAGAAAATAGGTGAAAAGACTGTAAAACCCCAAACACCTGGACTGCCTGTGGGAAAAGGACCTGACTCAAGGAAGAGAGTTCCCAGTAGGAAACCTCCTGCTCTACCTCATCTTAAATTACAGGGACAGACTGAGGAGGGTTCAGAGTACTCAAGGTGGGGATGCCCTTTTTAAAGCAGCCCAATTCAGCTGGCTGTTTACAGAGCCTCTATGGCACTTGGCTTGCAAAGTCTTAAGACTGGCTCCATTTTGTTGCTAAGCATGCAAAGAGAATCTTCAAGCTCTCAGCTAACATTACTGTTTGCTGCTTGCAGAACGTATGATGAACTTGCATTTATCTTCATCACTCCTGGGGAAAAGGGTTGGCATTATGGCCGTGTTAGCCCAGACAGGGAAAGGGACATCCAGGCACCTTGCATCACATTAAGAGTTGCAGGATTGATCCCACCTTTGCTAGCAAATTCCCAGTTCCATATTTATTGGCACAGATATGCGAGGAATTCGATGCACATCCTTGCCAGGAGCTTCAGTTATCCTTCAGTGGCTCAGCACAGAGTCTGAAGCCAGATGCTCTGCACTAAAGGCAGCCATGCTACCGTACAAGTGAAAAGGCCACCTCGTGCAACTGCTCTGGAAGCCTCCCTAACGCCAGTACAGGAGGGGGTTTGCATGGAGAGAGAGGAGTCCTGCTACACTTGCCTGTTGACTGCATCTCCCTTGGGTTCTTTTTATTCAAACCCCCTCCAGTTGTCTCTAGTGCCTAACCTGAGCCTTCTGCCTAGGCAGGTCTCACAGAGGAGGGGAAGTGACACCGCGGCTGGTGAACCACGCCACCGTCAACGGTAAAATCACTGTCCCCCCGTCTGACCTCCTGAGGTTGCAACCATCTTCCTTTGAAAACACGGCAGGTCCTTTTGCTCACAGTGGCATTCAAAGTTGTCACATAGCTTATCAAAGAAGGGGTTTTAGTTGGTTGGTTTTTACCCCAATCCTGAGAACAGGGCAGATTCCGCAAGTACAAGTTTTGCCTCTTACTAGGGAGAAACGCAAGAGCTTCTCTGCAATGGTAACAATGCCGTCATTCTGCAGCACCTCCCAGCCAGGGCTTGTATAGCACATTACTGATAAATACCAGCCTTACAGTCTCTCCTCTCCCCCAGAGAGATACCGCAGCATTATTACACACTCTTTAGAGAAGGGGAAATTGAGGTAGAGGTAAAGCAACTTGCCCAAGGTCACAGAGGCAAGAACAGGAGTCAAAGCCTCTTGTGTGCCAATCTTCTGCCTTAAGCACCAGAAAACCCCTTCCCTCCTTATCCTTCAGCCCTGCTCATCCTTCTTGTGCTGCGGTTCAATCCTCCATTTTCAGGATAGAAGGTAAAAATATATAGATACTGATTACAGTTCAGCTTTATTTTTCAAAGGAAATGAGGGAAGAGAGGTATTACAGTGTTAGGATATTAGATTCTAGTTATACTCAGCTTCTAGTTAAAAGGTTAGGTTATTTGCTAGAGAAAAGTTAGCATCTAGTTAGGGTTAGGAACTAGCTACGGTTAATAAAGCAGGCTGGTTAGCTATCAGGATAAAGGTTGGAGAGACAGCGCTTGAAAGAGAAAGAGGTGGGGGGAGCGTGTACTTGGGCAGATCTCCACACAGGAGACGGCAGGAAGGTTTTAAAAAGCACGCAAGAGAGAGAGAAAGCAGCAAAGGGTTACGGTTCAATTCAGTGGAAATAAAAACAGCCTCTGATACATCCTTCTGTTTCAAAACTGGAGTGAAAATCTGCCATCTGTGGCACAAATACGGAACAAGGCTAATGGGAAGAGGGTAGAGGAGGGGAAGAGACCCCAACATCACCCACTGCTATAAAGGTTCTTTGGCCTTGGCTAAGCCTGGCAATTTCCTGCAAAGGTTCACTCTAATTGACCGGAGAAACACGCTGGAAGTGAGAGCTACGTAAGCACAGATACAACAGTAGCCGTTACCTTCTTGTGTCACGGTAGGTTAGTTATTCCCTGTTCCCTCTAAGCATCAGCGTTGCCCCTGGAAATAGGCTGTCAGCAGCTCTTGGAGACAGACTGCCTTGGAGACAGTGCTCTTGGGGAGCAACGTAAGCCAAGGAATGCCACCTTGGTCCTTCCAGTTCTAACTCTGGCACACTGGACACAGAGGTGAGGAGCAAAACACGTTTTGCAAGATGCTCCTCACCAGGGATGGAAGGGACAGAATTTGAATCAAAATGAGATCAAGTAACTTGCAAGGAAGGAACAGCAGTTAGAATGGCGGCAGGGACACAGATGGTAGATTTTCACTATTGGAGTTTCACATCTAACTAGCTTCATGTTCAATATAAAGGCAGCAGGATGGTGCTAGAAAATGATTTGAAATAAATTAATTGTTCTGAAGAACTCTGGTAGGTCCTGTAAGATTTCATACGGAGTGGCGGGGGAGGCACCTGTGTTCACCAGCTGCCTTACCTGTGTCCTCACCTGGTGTCCTAGCAGTGCAAATGCACAAGGCTCACCACTGTCCAGGGCAGAATACAGGCACCAGCTTTGCAGGAAAACTAACGGAGGAGGAACTCACACTGGACGCTGACTTTCTGAGTGAAAAGCTAGTTTTGAGATGCCACGTGCAAACTACTCATATTGCCTTCCACAGCTTCCCAGGATCTGTAAATCTGCTTATTTAGGGCAAATTTTGGGGCTGCATGAGCGCAGATGGCCAGTGTAGTGTTTAGCAGCAGAGGCAAAAGGCAACTTAAAGGACTTTGCTCTGGATTATAAAGGACCAAGATGGTGCCAGGCAGAATACCACATGCAGGTGTCCCCCTCTGTCACAAAGGATGGGATCTGCTCTTCCACCATCCCGTCCCCTGAACTTCGCACACAGCAAGCTGCCTACGGATTCTCCAAGCCTTGAAAAACAGGGAGAGGAGGAAAGTCACCATTGCCATGGTAATGACAGAAAACACATCCCCACCTTCTGTCAGGCCACGTGTGACAACATGTGTGCGCTATGCTCCTCTCCCGAGGGCTGGAGGGAGCTTTCTATTCTAAACAAGCAAGCAATCATCAAGGGTCTTCTGCAATTTTAAAATGCCGGATCCTGGCTGACAGCTGCAACCGCTACATCTCTCGTAACAAAAGGGGACTTGGCACACGGAGAAGTGTGACGCGAGTTCCGCAGACAGGCTCCCGGCTTCTCAAGGGACAGAGATGATCTGGAGAGGGGGCCTTTTCCTTTGCCCAACCCTTTCTCATAGCCAATGACCCGTGATTTAGAGGTTCAGTTTGAAAATGCTGCACCCCCACCTCTCCCTTCCGAAAATGCCAATAACCCTGTTAGATGTGAAACTCCAGGACCTCCTGCAGGTGTGAACACAATTATCACAGTTCCAGGGTACAAGCTATTGTGTAGTTGGGGAATTCCAGGACAACTGTTGCTAAGTTACAAAAAAAATCTATCCAATGTTAGGAGGTTCATATTCAGGTGTTATCTCTTTATACAGATATATTAATTAGGATTATTATTCTTTTGTAGCCTGCAATACCCCTGCAGAAATTCATTAAGAGGGCAGAATATCCCTACTGAAAAGAGTTAGTAGAAGAAATGCATAGCATGCCTCTCAAGAAGCTGTTACAAAGGAATTAGTTTAAAGGGCAAGGGTTACAAATCTGGACATTAGCAGGTTTGGGGTTTTTTGGTTTGGTTTTTTTTTTTTTTTTAATTGAACAAACTTACCAAAGGTCTCTGAATGTTAAAAAAAAAAGGTGAAAAAAAAAGGAAAAAAGTTTGTTATAGCCAGTTATTTAGAAAACAGAAGACAACACACAAGACAAAAGGTTTTCGTGTTTCTATGATGCCAGAAGGTGGCTGCAGGCTGCTTCCCGTTATCCCCCTAGGTGGCACGGCTGAGCAAAGGACATTGGCTTCTACCTTTAATGTTCTGAGACTGCTTGCATCGGGGTTAAGCAGTTTCTCTTTACCACCAAGACCACTTAAACGCTTAAGACAACCTGGGTCTTTAAGGCTGAGATGATCATGCATGTCTAAGGGAAGCACGAGCCTAGACAGAGGTTCTTCCCATTCTCCTTTGACTGACAGTCCAGCCTTTCATTCAGTCAAAACCCCCAAGCACCAAAAGATTTCCAGTTGCTTGGAAAGTTTATCAGGAGATGGAAAGGAGAAGAAGAAATACTGGATAGAGAAAACCCTCTATAGTTAATGACATATCACCTGTTCCTCAATTATGCTGAAGACCCATAAAATAATGGGTCCACAGGGTGATGTGAATATAATGACCATGGTCTGAGAGGTCCATTTATATTGCCAGCGAAACATTCAGTTTTAATATAAATGAGAACCAAATCTGGCCATGGCTACCCAATTTTGCAAAGCTGTGTATGACATTTCACTTGTACCTTTTAATGAGCCAATCTGCATGTTTGCCACTAACATATATTGATATAAATTCAGTCCTTAACACCCTCCATAATAAAGCAGCATGGCTGCTACCCTGACGACTTCATCTCAGGGCAGAATCTGAGTGACTGTCCTGTCCTGCTGCTCTCTCAGCCTGTCCCAGTCTCCATCAGGGAGCAATGCACAGACAAATCTTCAGAAGCAACACAGTCGCTGGCTTCTATGCTACATCTGTTAGCACGAAGTGCAGCGATGAAGTTGTTATTTACTACCAGGGTCATTCCTCCTTCCTGCATTCCTATTCACAGAGGGCTTGTCAAACACCCGGTAGCTGGGTGTTAATTGTTAATGCCCAAGAAGCTGGGCTGGAGTTATACTGATGACCGTGGGTGAAAGACACTAAAGCTCATTAGCAGTGTCCTGAAGCATCCAATACCCTAACTTGTGCGAGTGCCACACCTCTGGCAGCGAAGTTTGTTTTCTGGAAAGATAAATGGATTAAATTAAGTTCTGACTTTAGCAGCATCATCAGCGCTCAAACAGGCATTGCCTTGCACATCACACTCGGGTTACAAATACACACTCGAATCTGGTCTGTCTTGGTCTTAAAACAACTCCTTTCCACTAAAATACTAACACAGTAGAGATGACTCTAATGTTAATATGTTTTGCATTTTCACAGGCCTTTGCATCACAGAACATGCAAGTTTTGAAAGGCCATAAAAGTAGATGAAATAGGGGAAGTCCTGACAATCCAGGAACCTGCACTCCCTTTCACACAAGCAACAGGTTTCCGCCCCTAAGGACAACAGCATGCTTCACGGTTTCACCAGCTTACTAATTCAAAGCAGCTGTAAATGAGATTAATTCTCAGCAGGTATCTTCTGATTTGTCAGAAAGGCCAAGGGTTCACTCTGAGGCTAACCAGTTCAATGGAATAAAAATGCAGCACTCAGGTGGCTTTAAGGAAAATACCAGATCAAAGCCAGTTAAGGAGTACAAAGGCATTCTAGCAAGATGATAAATGTATTAAAAATAACCTGCCTGTGCATTACTTGCACTTCAGATCATGGTCACAGAGCATGATATAATTCTAGTTTATCTCTCATTATTTATGCTGAGTGATTTTTTTTTTTTTATTTGCATTTGCCTCAGCTGTTACGATAAAACAGGGAGGTCAATCTCATCTGTGTTTGTGGGATTCAACAATCCATTCTAATTCAACAAAGCAGTTTAAGTATCTGCTTGTAAGTTTGCTTCACTGAATAAGGATGCATTTATGCAGGTATATAAAAGCTGCACTGAACTAAAACTATACTGAACTAAAAATCTTTATACAGAATCTTTGCCAAACAAGGGAAGAGAAAAACCAGGCGGTTGCCTTCTCTGATGTTCGGACCCAGCATTACAGTAGTCAGAACAGGTATCTTCACAGCCAGCAGAGGTCTGGGCAGAAGTAGCTGGCTGTCACTTGACTGGCTGACTTGTAAAATGTCTAATATGAACAGAGCAACCCCAGTTGCTTCACTGAAGCCTCTGCTTTCCCTTTGCCTACAACAATGCCATTCTTTTGTCAAAAAAGACTCTTGAAAATGCTCCATCTCTCTTGGCCAAAGGAATGTTCCGAGTAGCTGAAGCGACACTTGTGCTTCCTAGGTCCAGCCACACAGACACATTTTCTCTAGGCTGGGTCAAAGCAGCCAGTCCAAGCAGTATTTGAAAAGGATTATTTCTTAGGTTGTTTTTTTGTCAAAAGGTAAAAATTCCAAAGCTTGTTTCATTTCTGCAGCTAACAATGGAAGCGCTTTATCAGTAGCATTCAAAAATAAATACACCCGTGCCCTCCTTGCGCGCGTGCACACACACTCTCACGCAGTGAACTGGCAGATTTAACAAGTATAAAAACAGCTCCTGAAACGTGAATATTAAGAGATGTCACATTGACACACACACAAAACAACAAACATAAAACAAACAAAAGAGACAGATGGACAAGCAGATGGGGAAAGACAGAAGACTGACAAGAGCCACGGAGCTGGGGTACATCTGTTGATGGAGATCCACTCCATGGGCACTGCCACTGAACACCAAGGGGTCACTCCAGGATGCTCACAATGGCTCTCCAGCGATGACTGCAGGGACTTGATGCCAGAGAGATGTTGCAAGAGCTGTTCTTCAACACCAGTTCTGAGAGGCTCAAGTTACTCCAATGGGTCCATGTTTTGACAGTAAGAGGCTGCCTGAGCTGTGGACCCTATACCAGGGGTGTGTGGCCTTAAAATGCCATGTCTGCTGTAACGGTTCTCTTTCTTCCTTACCCGGTTCTTGGTCTGAGGAAGAAACCCTCAGGCCCCATCCACTCCCCAGTTTCCTCTGAGCCACAAGGGCACCATTAGTTCCACACTAGTTCCTGTGTCTCCTAGGTGTGAACCAGCTGCCCTGCTATGATTCCCCTTACGTCAGGGGTTGAAGAGGAACATACTCCAACCACTCCCTGGGTAAGAACGTGAGTCCCAAAACCAAAGAAAAGCTAATGCCCCAATCCACACCAGTGGAGCCTGTGTCTATCAGCCCTCTCTTCTGCTTCAGAAACCTCTGAGCAGTCTCTTCAAAGCTCTACCTAGGTCTCAATTCCTCCAGTTTCACACAGACGCCTTACCTGATCTCAGTTGTTTTATTCTCCCATTGCTCGCGCTGGGGTCGACAGGCAGGAAATCTTTAAACCAAGTGATCTCTGGGTCTGGGTTCCCGCTGGCCGCACAGAGCATTGTGGCTGTTCGTGTCCGCTCCACCACTTTCAGCTGAGGCCCCATATCAATGTTGGGGAAGCCGGGAGGTAACTGGTCCTCTGGTGGTAGAGAACAAAGGAAGAATGGTTAAACATGCACTAGGGACCCGGGCAGGTGAAGGAGCCATTCACGGAAGAAAGCATCAAGCAGACTTGCTGGCCAGTACTCTGTGCAATGTAGTTTAAAACAAGGCTACAGTAAATGGTCCATAGATGGTTTGTGAGAACACATTATACAATAAAATTTACCAGCTTGTCCATTTTGTGTGACTATTGTAACGTCCCACAAGAAGATTCTAAATTTAAATGCAATCTATTAAAATCCTTTGGGGCATAGGAATAGCAATTTCAAAGTTTCTCCTGGTCTTGCACTGAATCCTTCTGTCAGGTAAGTGACTTGCACTTATTTGTTTTTACAGCAGAAGCTGTGCATACATATGGCAAAGATCCCTGCACTACAGAGTACAGTCTATATACAGTGACATGTAAAAGGAGCGGTGCATCTTCCCCCTCCAAACCCCATAGTATGAAACAAACTGCACAAGAGAAATAATGAAAGCGACTACGTGAAAAGGCCTGTCAAAGATACAGTGGAAACTAGGAGAGAAAGGAGAGGAAAATATCATCCCACTGTAGTTACCAGAGGGGACACACATAACAACAGTAAGCCAAGTGCTGTCAGACAGGGTGTGATTTTTAGATTTATTAATTCAGAGTGCTGCTGCCCTAGAAGAGGGACGTGGCATCAGCACCTAGAAGACAAGCTCAACTGAGCTTCTCGCTTCCTCTCAATCTTGCCTTTGCCTTCACTAATGAGGGTGACGAGGGCAATCCTAACTGATGCTGACTAATTTGTGATAACTAATACAAAACCTCAGCGCTTCCCCCATAATCTCTGTCACAACCTCCTAACTCATGTAGAAGAGAGCTTTCTTATGCTGGCTGATACAGCTCAGGAACATGCCATTCTTTTCCCCCAGAAAATCAGTCTTCGCAGGAGGGCAGCTTGGAAGGAGGATGCGGGCACCAGGGTGAGACTTTATAGGGACGCTCCATCATTTCAAATGAGGCGTGTTGAGGAATCACAGCCTTGGGAATCTATGGTATTAAACGCATCCCAAAAGCAGGTGAAGGAAACAGAAAGGAAAGAACATAGAGGATTTTAAAAGGTGGGATTTTTAAAAAAGCAATGTACATCACGATCAGTCCCCCACTGAAACCCATGGGAGCTCTCACAGCGGCAGCAGAGATGGGCTGGAAACCCTTGCCTTGGTGGGAAACATCCCTGCCAACTGCAAACAGAAGAGCTCATTTCCTACTGCTGGCACACCACGTATCAGAAGCAACGGAGCCAAACCTATGGCTGATCCCAGAGATGGTGGAACAAGAGAGAAACCCGGTGGCCTTGCTATGGTGGCTGCCTTTTCCTGTAGGAGCAAAGCAGAATCGCCAGATCCCAGTACTGCTCTATGCAAGCTCCAAACACACGTGATTTGGGTAAGAGCTATTCCACACAGCTGTGCCTCACACTCAACTTCTAAAAACCTATGAAGATCACAAAGGCAGAGCTAAAGGTCTGTGTGGTTCTCTGATACCTGAGGCCAAGAAACTCTTGTCTAATGCTGTTATTAGCAGCACACAGCTACGGCAGAGAAGAAAAGGGTTTAAATGCCTCAATTGTGTGTTTAAAATGTGCATTGTTTCCTTCCTCTGACCACTGTTGGAGAGTTATAAAGGATCTATTGTGACTCACTGGAGAGTGAAATGTATTAACCACACCTCTCCTCATATATAAAAGGAATCTGACCACAAACAAAAACACGTAACATTTTATAACTGCTAAAGTAGAATGGATCTCCTGGTATGGCCAAACTTACAGTTGTATAAAGGTGTAGTCATTTCAGTGCATCTGAAGCACCCCTAAACCAGGATACTGCATTCTAAATAGAAACATAAACATCTTTAACTAGGGACTGAACCAAACCTTTGAGTTCTCAGTCCACCAGGCTGTGCTTGGGCACTGCAGGAGCCTCCAAACAGCGTGTGCTCTTGCAGATCATGTGTGCCGCAAAACCCTAGCCCCGCCAAGAGTGAGCTCAGGACAGAGGGGCCCTGGGAATTGTTCTGCCTTTGCACAGCTTTCAGCCAGGCTTTTAACGTCTTCTCTTCCCTTCTGCTATTTAACCAGGCGGTGGTGTGTTGTTAAGGAGCCGAGGAGCTGCTGCCGCATTGGCTGCAGATGACATCATTATTGATTACTGCTTTTATCCTGCTCCCTGGTGATGCTACTCCACCTGGCTCAAACCTGCGTCCGTTAATTCCATGAACCAATTAACCCAGAGAGAGAATAGCCCTCTGACTGGCAGGGTGTGTGTGAGTGTGTGTGTGTGCGTGTGTGTTGTGGGAGGCCTGGTACAACTATTATTACGGAGTGTTTCTAATTAAACAAAAATGTTAATCTTGCAGCACAACGTGCAGAATTCCTCTGAGTTTAATTAAAACAACTGCAACTAGAGGCGTGATCAGATTTGAGGATCAGATCAGCAGAGGAAGCATCTCTGAACATCACATACTGCACTGATTCAAGTGCTCAGATTTCCTTCCTGCCAGGAAAGTGAAACTGCCTTCATCCCCTAACAATTGGATTCCCTGTAATAATGCAATTACAACCTCAACTCAATCCCCACCAGACATGCACACACATGCCCTGTCACCCTCCCCATCCATCCCCAAACACCAGCCCAAACCTGTTACCAAGTAAATAAATAAATAAGGAATGGTTTGGATTCTGAATTCTCGTTCTAAAAGCAGCTCGGGTAACTGCAAGAACAAAAGAACCAAGACGCAAGCTGAAGACACTTCAAGGGCACATCTGGGCAGCTGCCTGCTGTTGAAAATCATGTTAGCTTACACAGGCAAATGTTTTCACGTGTTGCGCTTGCCATATTAACAGAGCACCCCAAACACCTCATTCCTACCCAAACTCTGCGTTGTTTAAATTTTGACTGCGTTGTTGAAAGTCCCCCCCCCCGATGCAAAGCTGGTGAATTACCTCAAGGCCACTGAACAAAGTAGGGTGAGAAAGAATAGGGGAGGAGGGATGGAGGGAGGCAGGGAGAGAAGAGCACGTCAGCGTTCATTTATAATAAATCCTACTGGAGGACATGCTCTGTGCTGGGGGGCATGCCTCGAACCAACCTGGGCGCATGTGCTGACACACACACGGTCACACAGAAAAAGCAAGGGACGCCAGCTACAGCAAAGGGAGACACCGGTGCTCGCTGTCTCCTTGTTGCTCTAGAAGGTGGCAGCTCTGTGTTTAGATAATGAGCTGTGCTGGAAATGAGGATAATAAAGAAAGATAAAGCGGGTGTTGCTGCTGCTCTTTTTCCCGCAGGGTGTGCACAGTTGTTTAATAATTTAGAGGAGAAGGAGGGTGTGAGCACATACAGACACACTACGTATTGAATGCAGAAAGCCACAATGAGGATGCGATTGAAATGAAGAAGAGGAGGAATTCTTCGTTCTTCTCTGGAGATATGTGACCCAGCTCACAGATACTGGCTGGTCCCTAAGCAGTCAACCACTTCAAGGTGAAAGAACCAAGCGCACAGAGATGAAGCAGCTTGAGTGACATTACTCTGAAGCGGAATCAACATCAAAATCCAGCACTCCTGAAACTTATTTCTGTTCTTTTCACTTATAGCTGCCCCTCCTCAACAGGTATCCCAGCATTCTGCAACTTGTGAAATTACATCAACAAGATACTTCCATCAATGTGTATGTACCTGTGTCTTAGTTAACTGTTATTTCACAGCCAAAGGCAATTTTAATACATGCCAGGAGTCTCAGTGACATGCTCCGCCTGTTGATTCCATGTATTTTGATCTGAAACTTTTGCTATGAAAATAGCTAAATAGCGTAACAATGTTATTAAAAATCTGCAGGCTTATACACAATAAATACACACTTAAGACATTTGTGTTGGACCCCATAACAGAGCAGGTAATACATGGCCGTCCCTACGCTGATGTATCCCTCTGTACCCTCCTTATAAAGGCATCTGAGTTAAAATTGCTCTGACATTATTCATAAGCTACAGAACAACTCTGCTTTCAACACGGCCTGATTTTCAGGACACTGAAAAAAAAAGAAAAGCAAAGGACACTGAAGAAAAGCAAAACAAGTCAAGTTTGAAGAAAGACTGCTAAGAACTTTTCAAGTGGCAAGGTCACATTTCAGAGGGGCCAGCTTCTGTTTAAGACGTGCTCCTGTGGGACTCGATGCTTTCTGATGAGCATCTAGAACTGCTTTTTGTTTACCTTCTGCTGATCTAAAGCCAACAATTACAAAAAACAACAAAACAGCAGGGATCTTGCTAGAACTTTATACATGCCCGCACCAGATGTCCTCTTGGAGTAGGAAATGTGTGAGGAAAATTTCGGGCCAGAATTGTCAGAGAAGAACACTTCATAAAAATAAATCAACAGGGAATCACTAGAAAAAGAAGTTCTGAACGTCTGTCCATAGCAGCCTGAGTAAAGACGGCATTGGCCAGTATGCAGCGAGTGGTATATCAGGGCACAGTAAATTTTGTTCCATTACATTTAACTGGACCAAGCACTGGGGTTCATGGGCTCATGTTGCATTTACGACTCGCAAAGGGTAACCTCCACGGAACTCTATCAGCTTGAACAGAGCAAAGAACTAAGCCAGTCCAGCCCCTGCTTGAAACCCAGCTTGTGCCTCCCAGCAGCAGAGGCAATGCAGACAGCAAGCTGCAGCAAGGCTGTACCCTCAGCTGCTGACCGCGTAGGACAATCCTTCGCAGCACAAGAATCTCTGTCTCGGGCTACTAAAGAAGTGGAGGGAAAGTATAATCTGGATACAGGAAGCAATAATAATAAAAAATATGTATACATTTCCTGGGAGTGTGGAGCGTAGAGAAACTATACCAACTGGGAGCTGGGGTGCTTGTGCCAATTAGCTTCCTTTCTGCCTAAGTTATAATGAAAAATGACAGCAGCTGGAGTCAACAATAACTGGAAAATGCTTCCCAAAACCATCTTCTTTCCTTTTCTTCAGTCTCTGCAGGAAACAGGTTTGCAGGCACTATGTCTAGCCAGCTGTGGAAGGAACAGCAAGTCTTCACAGCCCTATCAAAACTCAGATCCCTTGAGAAGCTGAGCAGGAAGGACAAACAAGCCAGGAGAGCTGGTGTTAAGAGACTCTGTGTAAGCTGAATGGTGTCCATCACAAGTTCTGCTTCTCAGAAGCTCCCAAAGGTTTCCTCTCCTGCAGCTTTCTGTTTTTAAGTGGATGCATGTGGATTTCTATCAGGGTCTGATCCAGGAGTAGTCATGAGCAAAAGCTCAAAAGGGGTTTACTCTCAATCCCTTCAGCAGCTGCATCTAGTAGGGAAGAATGTGGGTTTTTTTCTCTTCTGTTCATGAGACTATCTGCACCGGTGTTGAGGAAATCCTGTAACTGTTCATGCATGTGTATAGCATGAAGGTACACACATGAATGTCTAACTGTGATTACAACAGCACAGCCAACAGGCTGATTTACTACAAAGCCCATCCTGCAGAGTTTGTAACAGCTGGGGCCCAGGTTTCCATACTCCACAGTATTCCAAGGTAACAGCTTCTGCAAATGACAGCTCACATTCATCTCCAAGCTGAGGAGCAGCCCCCATCTTTATGCTAAGCATTAGTTCTGAAAGTGAGAGAAGAGAGACGGAAAGGAGGAGGCGGCCTTGCAAGGAAAGATCGAGAAAAGACAAACAGGAGAGTGGGTGAATGCAGAATTGGGAAGGAAAAAGAGGGGAATAAATGCCAGCATGCTAACTTTGTCATTGGGGAGATTAGTGGATTTGTGCTTGGTCCTTTTAACTTTCCCAGCACTTAAAAATGCAGATAAAGAGGAGACAGTCTTTGCTGTGCGAAAGCTAAGGAAAGATTAAGGATGGAGTAACTCCAGCTGAGCAGGGAACGGGAGTGTATGTGATAAAAATTGCTTCCTTGATGCTCTTCAACAACATCTCGGACCAAGCCTGCAGCTAATTACCATTCCCCCCAGTTTCATGACCAGGGCACCCTAGCTGCTCTTGCACAGTCGGTTAGCAAAGCTACCGAACAAGGGCCTATTAGGCAAACAGAACAGGAGTGCTTGTGGAAGCAGCACAACGCGGGAGCAAAGCACACAGTAATAATGTTCTGGTGGGATCAGTAAAGTGTGTAATTAGTCAGGCAGTGGGGAGATGTAGCTCCTGCTCTGTCATCTCTCTCTCTAGCTGACATGTGTATGATGCTGATACCGGAAGGAAGAGCTGCAAAAAGACACGTACAAAGAACCTTGGTCCCAAAGGACAGTCACTGAGCTCAGCTCATCATTTCCCATACACTGCAGAGAGTGGTGGAGAGTGCCTTAAAAATGCTGTGAGAATCCAGAGGATTTGTGAGGGCAGCAGCTAGAGGACAACCTTCTCTCCTGCCACTGCTTGTACTTAAATTCAAGGGGTAGAAATTTTGAATATGACTGCAGGGGCACTTCTCCCAAACTGTCACAGCTCCCAAGGAATATATGGGAACAAGTGTGAAGAATAAGGCTCCCAGCCCTCTGGGATAACCTCAGCTAGGCATGCTCTTGTCATAAAGCACTGTTCCAAACTCCTGACAGATACATCCCACCATGTACTGCTAACAGAAGGTTAAATGCCATGCCAGGCAAAGGAGCTACACAAAGATTTAAGTGCACCTACATAAATCTGTCAGGCATGACTGGACCATGGGCTTGCATGCACAAAGGCAGCCAGCGTCTTGACAACACAGAGCCTTCCAGGTGGGCAGCAGAAGGTATATTCCCTGCTACAAGGGGAGGTCAAGGGCTTTGCCATGTGCCCTTTATGTCTGGTCTTCATTTACTGCTGTACATTGGGGATTTGCACACGAATTTCGCTCTGCACTATTAAGGATGTGCTCACTGTCTGTTCAAACAAAAAGATTTAGGACGTTCTTGGAGAGAACACTGAAATTGCTGAAGAAAAGGCAACTGGCATACGGGCAGAGCTACCACTTGGCCTTACAAGGACCACACACTGCCTGGAGCACCTAAAACTGTTGTAAGCCACGCTCACTGCAGAAATGATGGCTCTTACTGCAAGTACCCCTATTCAAAAGCCTATGACTTTTCTATAGCACCTAGTGCTGATGGCTTCATCAATAGCTGATGCTCCCAAGCTAAACTCCCTTCAGGAGCTCTCAGGCAGTTATCCACCACACCCTTTCTGCCAGGATCACTTGCTTTGCCCTGTGGTTTGAATAGAGAACACCACACATCTTTTCCCCTAAAATAGGTCAGTTTTAGCAAGCAGCCTAGCTTAGTGTTTCACATAGCAATTTTACAGATCTCCGGGGTAGTAACAGTAAACATCCAGAGGCATCCACAGCAATAACATATTGTTCCCTCTCCCACATCAAGTTCAGGGAGCAGATTTCAAACAGATGACATGAAGGAGGCATCCATGTAAACATCCTCTATGGTGGGGACAAATGAAAAAAAAAGAACCAGAACAAAATGGAGAGGGGAACTGTTTCCTTGGAGAGCGCATGGAGCAAAGGACTTCTGGAAAGAGGGAAGATGCCCAGAAAGCAAAATAGGTGTCCTGCATAAGGGAAGAGGCTGGCATTGCTGCCAACTACGTGAAAGCCCATGCAGATGCATAATCATCTTAACCTCAGCCCATTAAGTGATTACTCAATGAATAAAGTTTTCTTGGGTGGCTGGATGAACAATGCCAAATTTCTAAGGAGAATGATGGGGAGCTGCTCATAAACCTGGGGAAGGAATTTTTACTGGGAGGGAGGGAAGATCAGAATCATAGGATAATTCAGGTTGGAAGGAACCTGAGCACATCATCCAGTCAAGCCTCCTAAAGTAGTCCAGTTTTAGCTTTGTTTCTTACATAGCAATTTTACGACTCTCTGGGAGAATAACAGCAAACAGATCTGACAGGTCAAAACAAACCAAAAAAAGGAGGACTTCATGCCTTGGCCACATCTGAAGGAAGGGAGAAGCTGAAGGGTCCCTTCTCCCCTGTGACACAGATGCATGGCAGGCAGGCATGCTCTTTACCTCGGAGGACGGTGAGCTTGGCATGGACGGTGACCTCTCCATGGGGGTTTTGAGCAACACACTCATAGATGTTCTCATCCCGGGGAGTCCGGAGGGGTTGGATCCTCAAAACAGCACCTGCACTTTCATCAAATTCAATTGTCTGGGGAATAAAGAGAGAAACACACGTAGTAAGTATCCTTGGCTTGCAAGTAAAAGGTTCGTTCCTGCTTCTAAAGAAGGCATCAGCATATATACAAGCATGCATACTCACAAATACACTTCAGCAGCTGCCCCACAATACCCTACACATAACCAACGTGGCCAACTTGTCTCTCCACTGACGTCAAGGTGCCAGAGAACTGTCCCATGCTAAACCCTGTCCTTGACCACTGACCCACTGAAACTGCTACATACATCTCAAACGCTCTGAAAGAATGAGCCATGGTGACGGGGTTGGGGGAGGTGGGTGTTCAGAGTACAACTGTGATGAAGGAGCAGAAAATGGACCAAGTGAAAACAAAATAAAAATGAACCCCTGCCTTGTTCCTCCATCTGCATGGGCAGCTGACACCACAAAGCTCTTCTCAGCGCACAGCTGCGTGGCAGGGCTGAGTCCCACAGCAAATTCCACAGGATGACCTCCTGGTCCTTGTTCCTCCACTCTCATTTCTATCTCAACAATACCAATTGCTTGGGTCTGGCTGCCAGCAACTGTAATGGTTACTCCAGGCTGTCCCAGGGTTAAAATAATGAGCCATGGATGGGTATGAAAGGTGCATTTACAGAGCTGAAGAAGCACCAGCTTAGTTGGTACTTACTTTGTTTCTTAGGGAAGCTATGTATTATATCCCAGGAGGGGAAAAAAAGCAACAAAACAAAAGAAAAACTCAAATAATGTAAGTGAGCCAAATTCTCTCTGGCTTTGGAACAAACCCAGCTGTTGACATGGCCAAGAGCTTGCATTTCACTCCTGCTGCTGTTAAAACTCATCCCCTTCCAAACGCCCCTTATTATCGTGTCTGAGAACGGCCAAAGAAGAGCGCTAGCTGCTTTCTGTCAGTCTCTCTCTCTTTACACATACACATACACATATTTCAAGGACATCTTTTACCTCAAACCTCTGAGAGTTCACTTTCTTCCCTTTCTTGTTCCAGGTGACCCGTGGCTTTGGGTCCCCAGTCGCTTGGCATACAAAGGAGGCCACCCCTCCTGACACACCAATTTGGTCCACAGGCTTTTTAATGAACACAGGGGGACCTTTAGGAAAAAAAGAAACGTCATCATTGGCAAAAGGAAAGACAAACTCTAATAAACACTGTTTGTAATTAATAGTAGCATTATCACTGCTATTCTCTAACAACCCCAGATGGAATTAAACCTCTTGGCCTTTTGGGAATGAAGTCTTTACCTCTATTTTACATACGAAGAATCTACAGTACAAAATAATTACGGGCCTGATCCTACCAAGAAATTTCAATGCGATGGTGTTGCAAAGCCTCTCTTAAAAAGTGGATTTTTTAACTCTCTTGCACAGGTGAAATTGCCCTTGCAAAGCCCATCTAATGATCATCACCAAAGGCTGACAGAGCTGAAAACAACATCTAGAAACACTGAATTGCCCTCCCCATACCCAAGCAGATGACCAAAACACCGAGGAATGGGGGAGATTTATGGGAACGTAGGGCTAAAAGGTGGGAGAAGGACCATGAAATAAACAGAGCACATGAGATCCTGAGGATGATGGTGTGAAACAGGCTGATGCCAGTGGCTTTAGGGTGTGAAACCTCCTTGGCTCGTAGTACATCTCCGTTTTTAGCGGCAAATCTTTATCCTGACCCTCACTGGTACACTTACACAGCAACAGGCACGCCATGCTTTGGAACAGGCAAGTTGATAGGATACAGCCCAACAAGCGACAGTCATGATCATTTCAAAACAATCCATTTGTCAAGACCAAGAGCATGACAGCCAAGTCTGCCGTCTGCTCCTGCAGTTCCCCCCTCCCCTCTTCTCGCCCTTCTCATCCGAGAAACATCTGAGAAGAACATGGAATTCATGCTGCTGAAGGAAGCAGCCAAAAGCTCCTCAGAATTCCTCTCATAACCAGATGCTTAAAGGTGCAGTGATGCCTGAACAAACACACTCAGAGTCTGGGGCTGCATTTTAGCCAAACCTCATGCAACAGAACAACACTTGAGCTCGCAGCACCTCTCCCTCACCCCCTGCCACTGATTGCCAGGCATGTCTGACTGCCTTCAAGAGCACCTCTGCAACGAGGGAAGAGGATGCTGGGATGGGCTTTCTGACCAAGGAAGGTGTCAAGGGCCTCCTCATGAGAGGAAGATGAGGCCAGGAGCGTTCACACAGAGCCCATATTGCCTCTACCCTCAGGGAATCCTCCTTCCGTGCTCTAACCCGTTTTCCCTGCACAGTTTTCTCTCATGTAGTTAGCTTAAAATTTATTGAAATATTTAAATCACAAGGCCACAGCTGTGTTCAAATAAAATCACTCAGATCATAAAGTTTCCGTCTGTTATTCTTGAGAAACGTAGACCACATGACTCTGAAATGTGTGTATTTATACGTACATACTCAAAGTCTATAAAATAAGATGTAAACAGCCTACCAAAGAGCTTAAGAGGAGGGCAAATGGTAGCTAGAGAGACATCTCCAGGGTCTTTTAGGGGTCGAAAGACAAAGCGAAGCATTCTTCCCTTTCCCTGCCTGGTGTGGCCAGCAGTATATAAATAAAAGCCACTGAGCAAGCTCATGTGATGCAATCAAGCATTTGTTTCCATGCTGGAGGTAAATACAATTTGCTGGAGCTGTTTACATCCCGCCGAATGCTGTGTGTACAAAGCATCAGATTTATAAATATCCAAATCTATATTTAGAGGTCAGAGTCGTCTTTGCAATGTTACAGCTAAAGGTTATCAAGCAAGTCCCACTGGAGGTACCGGCACCAGGGAATCTGTCTTCCACCTGAGGAAGGTAAAACCAAAACTTCGCTTCAGGCTAAAATATAAATGCTCACTCTGCCCACAACCTGGCCTCCTTCCTCTCGCCTCAGTTCAATATGTGAAGAGTTTGCAGAAGTCAATTCTGAAGGTACGGCCAAAAACATCCAGGGCTTTTAAGAACACTTTATTGATGCAAGTTCATTTCTTAAAATAAAAACTCCTAATAATCCTTAATGTCACATATACATTTAAATGGGTGCAAGCAGTAAGATGAGAGCAGAGCTAAGGAGAAAAATAAGGTTCTATATCTGTCCTGAAGAAAGGGATGGTGCTCCAAAAAATGGTGTGAACCTGGATTCATTGCTCAGCATCCTCTTCTGGGGACCTCTGTTGACCCAGCGTGTGGTAACGGGGAAGGTGAGTTGCTCTGCGAACACTGCTTTCCAGAGCTCGCTGTGATGTTGAACTGCCTACGACAAACTCGCGCTGAGACAGAGAGACACGAAACCAAACAAAAATCCCTATCAAACAATCCATTAGATTTTGCTACTCACTTGGAAAATCAATGAAAATCAAAGCTAAATTGTTGATTTTAAAATTGCCCAAGCCTCTGAGCTCCAGACTTTGATTCTGCCCCCCTCCGCCAAATCACCCGTTGCGCTCTCCACCTATGCGCCCTAGTCACTGCGGCACTCGGCGCTCCTGCCCACGCCAGTCGCAGAGCCACCCTCTCCCCTCCGGGAACAAGAAAGGCAGTGCTATCGCAGGCGAGGTGGTGATGATACAAAGCTGAAGCAAATTCCTACATGCTGCGTAGGACTGCCACAGCTCTGCCGTGCCAGGTCTGGCTTGCAGTGAAACATGCAGTTAGAATTCAGTCTCCAGCTCTGCAAATTGCTTTGAAAGGCTCCAAAAGCAGGAACAAGGTGCAGTGCGAAAGTGAAACACTATCAGCCCACTCAGAGGGGCTTATGTGCTTCCCCTCATTTGTCAAGATTGCAGGACCTCCGTTTTAAATAAAAAAACAAAAATCAGAGACAGGCATTTTCCAGATGACATATTTGCAATCCAGGAGATTTTATATCACTTCACCAATCTTCCCCCATGGAGAGCTGAGAACAAGTCAGTCTTGGAAAGACTGAGTTTGAGTTCCACCTAGGTCCAGTGGTCACAAGAGATAGTTCTTTTTCCTCTTTCTCTGCTTGGAACGTAGCAGAACCTGTTTTTTTGCAGTATCAAAACAGCAATGGAAAAACCTGGAGCTTAAAAGAATTTTCCTACTATGAAAGGTTTCCTGCTGGGTCTGGGTCTCCGGAGAGGAGGTTGAAAAGACCGGATGGCTGCTGTGTACCTGCGATTCTTCTCTACAGCTTAATGGAAAGCCATCAAGTCAAACTGAGCCTTTCACTCCTGCCCAACGCCTACGCACTTCCCAAAAGCAACAGCCAGGGCAAGCGACACACTGGATAGTTGCCACAGACTGTAAGGAAGAGACACATGTTCACCATCCATCTCGTGCTCTGTAATTGTGTCCGCAAAGACCATCAGCACGCACACGGTCTGCCCTCCGCCCTAACCGCTGCCACCCCTTCCAGCCAGCTCTGCTCCCGCCCTGCGTCCCTGACTGCTGTCAAGGGCAGCGGATGGGACCATGCGCTCACCTCCCGGTCACGCCTATGCGGACACAACCTCCAGCTGGCTTCACCTTCCAAAGCACAGGCCTAGAGAAACATGGGCAGTGCCAGCATCTGTTCAGAAGGGTCACGGCGCACGTTTACTGCTGGGATTTCGTGAATTCTAACGCAGACTTTGAGAAGAAGCTGCGAGGTGGTACAGGTGGGGTCTCCTACTCATCCCCGAGGCACATGCACTACAGGAGCACGGTAAGACATCAGCCCACGTACAAGGGCTGCACACCAAGGCAGCTTTCCTCACAGAAGAGGAAAATGCTGCTGCCTCACCTCTCCTTCCTTCCTTCTTTCATGTGACACCAAAGCAGAAAAAGTTCTTCAAACGCAGTCATGTAAAAGAACAAAAACCACCAACATCTCCCTGCTAATGATACAGAGACGACAAAACAGTCTGGAAGCTTTGCAGCAAGGAAGCTTGAAAGATGTAGGAGTGGGGAGAAGGAGGGGACATCTCACCCTTTAAACCCGAATGCCCCTCAGGAACCGCTGCCATGGTGAATGGCGGGTGATGGACGAGGAACGAGGGAGACAGGCTGGCCACCATATGCCTGTCTGAAACATCAAAACCCAAGGACAGAGAAAGGGATCGAGAACTCAGAGGTGGTTTGAGGGGTGGGAGAGAGGCAGGAGCACAAACGGGCTTAACGTATCTGAGCTGACAGCCGAAGGGGAGCTGGTGCGGCGGGGAGAAAAAGGAAAAGCACAGTTATGCACCACGGATCCTCCTCCCTTGCCTCCCGTAAGCCTGGTCTCCAGACTGAGCTGGCTGCCCCTCCTGCCAGCACTGTGGGTGGGTTTATGGAGGGACAAGGAGGGAATGCATTTAAGCCTCACAGACCACACCACTGGGTAGGAGCAGCTTTCTTCACTCTACCCCAGTGTGCTCCAGCCGTGAAACAGGAGAGACAGCCTGAAAAGCTGAGGGGAAAACTCACACCGGCCCAGCTAAAGGCAGTCGAATGAAGTCCTGGTGGTGCAGAGGGCTGTGTAAAACCAGTATGGCAGCTGCCAGCCCCCTTCCCAGCTCTCCGGGTAGTTTCAGGGAAGGCTGACCAGAGTTAGCCCAAATGGGCGTAAGGAGAGGGGCAGGTCACGGTGGGGACATACTGACTCCCCTGGGCCTGAGACAAAATTGATTCTCAAAGCATTTTGTGTCAGCCTGACAGATCGATACCCCAACACCCTCCCAGCCACCCGCAGTCAAAACGCTCTGGTGCTGGCTCAGGAGATTGTCCGCTATGGACAATTTGGGAAACGTATGGAATGGGCCAACAAGAGCAGACTGAAGACAGCCCCCTGCCCCTCCAGCCTGGGCTGCAGGAGCACACACATATGGCCAGAACCTGCCCTACACCATGAAGCTCTTGAGGTAAAGCCCTCAGTCCTGACAGGCGTGGGACCAGCCGGCGGCACGCAGCCCTCCACCTCTCTGCCACGAGGGAAGAGAAGACCCCACACACTTTGCTGCCAAAATGGCTGGGAGACCCAACTCTGACTGAAATTTCTCCTCCCTCCTGAGCTACAGCCTGACAGCTTTGGGGCAGGTCCAAGGCAGAAAGCTGCTGCTACAGGGAGCGGGACACGATGTCCACCGTGTCCCCTTCCA